CTGCCAGAGCAACATTCAACAATGAAAAAAAAAGAGTAGTATTTTGTCATGGTTCGTAACATTGTAATTCGATATGTTGAGTTAATCGCATGGTTGTAACAAAGGAAGTGTTATTATGGAGTACATTAATTTCGTTGTATTTTTTTGTGATAAAACTCTCGTGGAATGTATAATTCTATAGTCCATAGTTTCTTCCATCAAACATGTAACTATTTAGTTGCAGAAGGTGGTGTGGCTCAATAGCATGAAAGTTTTTTTTAGTGAATTAGGCGCATTGTATGATGATAGAATATTGTGATTTACATGTTGGAAGATGGAATTATTTTTCGATGTACTTTATTCAGTACGTAAGTGAAAAAAAAATTACTATTGAAGATTCTACTATAGTAATCTACATATGTTGAGTCTTTGTCGAAAGACGAGATAGTTTTAATCAATAACACTGTCAGAAAGTAGATTCTCTTACGATATCGATGACAATACATTAAATATGTAAGAGCATTTTGATATCAAGACAATGTATACCTATCAGTTACATTGACCTTCGGCTGTTTGCGAGAAAATTCACTTATGATTCTACACTTTTGTTTTTTCATAGATGAGGAGAAAGAACTCGAACAGTGGAAAAGAATCGTCGAATTTCTGTGTTCTATTTGCTTTGATGAAAATATTTTATTTATTTCTGAAGCATGTTGAATCTAACAACAAAGCATAAAAGTAAATGGATCTTACGGTAGAATCATCTTGAAAAACGAGAAAATGTTCAACGCTTAAAAGAAAAAGAAGCGGCTAGGATTTCAAACGCGGATCATTCAGCATGATAACTTTCATTATCAATAATGATGAGAGTAATTCGACTGCATTGAACAAATGATATTCTTTTTTTTAGTTTAAATAAAAAGCATACGTGATTACATCAGAGAAAGTAATAAAAGAGTGATAAAATAATTTTATTTATAGTTAGTTAAATAAAACAAAGAATTTTTTTGTATGAAAAAATTTAATAAATTGATTAAGTGAACTTGTTTGTTTTTTGGAAGTAAGAGGAATTTAAATAATGTGGCAAATGTTTGTACCATTGAAACAACAATATAAAAATCATGGTGAGATCTTGACTGACATGGACAAAGCTGGTAATGGGAAAAGTTGATTAATGATCTAAGGAATATTTATTATAATTATTATTATCATTTCACACTCCACAGATGCATCATTCTAAAAGCTTGTAGATATTTACCGAAAATCCATTCATAATGATATTATATTGCTTCATGTTGATTTTATTACTCAGTTTTATAATATAAATTTGTTGAGTATTTCATATGTCTGTTGGTTAAATATTATTCTATAAAGATACTTATAATCATTTTGTCTTGTGCAAAACAAGAACAAAAATTCCAAGAATATGGAATGTGACAATGAAATCGATGTTATTTTCTGGAACAAAACTGGTTTGAAAACAAAGAAACCAAATAATTTGACGTTGAATCTTTTGCAACTTTCTATTGACGAGAGATTATCTGATTCTTTTTTCATCACATTGATTAACTTAAAAAATAGAGTTCTGCTTAAAATTAACTTGTAAGCATAAGTGGTACAAGCCGATCAATGATTACATATAATTTTTATCTAGATTTCTTCTTACTCATAGATCTATAATTATAGATTCTTGCTTGTATCAGTTTCAAATAAAAAGATTTTCAGTTTTTTTTCGAGTTATATTATGTTTCCCGTTTCCTGAAGAAAACGATAATGGATCAAACTCGAGGTCATTCAAGTGTCGAGTCGATCCGTGGCACGGCTCCAGTGTTCTTAAGTGGTCTCAGCCATGTGCCAAAAATCCGTCCGAAGGAGCCTGACTTTTTCAGTCAGCTCCGGCTTTCAAACCGCCGAGAACAGATATTAAACTTTAATCTTAGTCACAAAGCGTTCGCACACATTCCGAAATCATATGTTGGATTTTTCAACATTTCTGCATTTATATTATTTCACTTGTTATGAAGTAGTAGTATCTTTAAGCTATCACGACAATGGACTAAGCGTTTGGTTTTCATTTTTCTTTGCTATTAAGAGATTTATTCTCTGATGTTATGTTCTTTATCGCAGCTAGTGAGTGAACAGATACTCTAAAAGTAGTAGAAAGTGCTCGTGGATTGATATAAATACGAATCGATTAGAGTGTACAATTCAGTTTTACATTCACAAATACTTTTCTTTTTCTCATAAAATTATACATCTGCATTTTAGCTGTAGAATAAATGCTTGAATTGTATGTAATAGACAAATATAAAACGGCTTCCCACTAGATTTGTCTCATGGATACTATTGTAACTTACTGTCATAAACAGTGGCAATGGTGACTTGAAATAGAATCGTCGATAACATATACATAGATCTATATCATTCGTATATTGCTAAGTGATTGAAGAATACCTCCAAACTTAATGTCAAAATTCGAATGTTTGTATAGATTTTGTCTTTACAATTTTCACATGGCTTTTCTAAGGCAGAAAGGAGAGCTTGCGCAATCAATTTAAGTATTTCGAAATATTCACATCCACTAAAATTATGCATAACGAATTTAAAGTACAAGAATTTTGGGTGTGGGTCGGTGTGACCAACACCCACAGCCTTTTCAGGAAATGCTCATACTTTGTTAGCGTTTTCTCTAGTACGTATGTATTGGGCTAATATAATTAACGAGAAGCTCAATGAAGCTGGCAGAATTATTTTGAAGCTAAATTCTTCGTGGCATAGAAGTAAGTTATGCATAGACAGATTGTATGCAATGTGTTGAAGAAATTGAAAGGAAATGCAATCTAAGAAAATGTTTGTTCGCTATTTCGTCCGTCTACAATTTATTTTCATTTTCTTTGCGCTAATTGCAGTCCATGATATCTAGTTTCATTGATCCAAAAGCTCATCGTAAGATAACGAGATTTCATCAATAGACAAGCTGTGATGTAATGAACTATTCTAATGGTTAGATCTTTGCTCTATATTGAATTACAGCTCTGTAAATTCAACCACAAACAAATGTTATGATGAGAACTTATTGTTGAAATTTTCAACTGAATTGATTGAGTTGAGCTTGAGTTATTGACGCCAGACTAGAAACTATTGCTAACTACTTGATTAACAGTTTTCAATGTGAACTTCAGATCTCCGCTATTCGAAGGTAGTTTCTTACCAAATTTTGAAGGTAGATAGTCACACCAGTCGGCTTACAGATGTGGGAGTGCATGAATGCAAAGGTCAACCAATGTCCGAGATATGACTTTCACAATCTGATGATATTGTTGACCTGATAACTCTAATCTATATCAACCGATTAAGGTCAGATTGGTGCTTGCGATCAGGGTTCACTAAGATCAATCTACATCCAAAATATCAGCCCAATATCATAAGAAATAAGACCAGTTTAGAGAGGGCGATTACTTTTTCCAGGACTGTACATATGAAACATCATATCTAAAGATGATCTTAAACAAAAAGATCGAAAATTCATAATTAAATGAAAACACATAATTCTAAATGTATTTGTTCAATTTTAGTCTTTATCTAAATAAAACAAGTATGTTCTATATCAAAATTAGCTGCAATAGATAAAAATTTGTTTGTTATAAATTGTCGATGTTATGTATGATGTTCTTCGTGTGAACTAGCTATTTTTTGAAAGCAAGACACGTCGAAGTAAATCAGCTGATATAACAGATTAAATACGATTAAATTCTTCTAGAACTTGAGCTTTTGTTAAAGTAATAAATAATTCTGCATCCATTATTGTATTATTTGTTGTTTTTCGTGTTGATCCGGCTTTTTCGAAATACATTTGTAACATAATCTTGATAAAGTTTTCTTGAATTTTAACATTGTAAAATAATATATCGTTAAGAATTTCTATAAGATTCTTCAATTAAGTCTTTTAATGGACGTGTATTATCAAGGCATTCAATAATTACTAATTTTATTGACATTGGCATTACTGTATATGTTCGAATAGATATATGTGCACAATTTGATTGATTACAATTTGGATCATCATAATAACGAAGTCATCGATAAAGGACGCCAAAATCAAAAATCTCAATTTTAAATCCCCACCTTTCTCGTGTCCAGACTAGTGCTCGGCGTCACCAATTTTTATGGTCACAGTCGCGTCGCGATCACGAGAATTTGATCATAGTCACAGTCACGCTTCGCGATTCTCCGTGACCGTGAATCATGGTCATTTTCGTTAGATTGTTGTGAATTGCAATCTTTTTCCTTAAACCACGTATATTGTGACGAGAGTCCAATATATCGATTTTATTGGTGGAAGCGACAAGAATATGTTACTGTGAAAAGTAAGAAGGCAGCAATATTCAATATTGTACAACAACATTCATCTAATCAAGTAAATAATGAATGCCTCAGGTGCATTTCAAAAAAAAATTATCTCAATAAAATTTAAAACAATTAATTTCTGTTAAGAATATTTCAGTTACCTTCTCAAAAGAAAACGAGAAGAAGGATCATACATCTAAATTTTGGTCTCATTTTCTTACAATTTTCGTTAATAATATAAAACAAGATTAAGTTTTCTATATTTATTACATGTTGTAACAATTGTATACAGTTATTTTGATTCATGAAAACTGAATAAATGTCGAAACAAGTTAGTAATATGAAATTGTTTGTGTTGAGGAAAACCTTAACGCAGTTAACTTGGAGAAAAAATGTTACTATTTAGATATCCGTAACTACCCGTGACCAACTGCCAGTCACGGTCACGCCGGGCACTAGTCCAGACTTCTCCAGTTTTGATCGATTTCCGTGTCCTGGACGTCCAGTTAGCAAAATTTTTTCAAAAATTTCGAAACAAACGCAAAATAAGCAAAAAATCAAAAACCTTCCGAACATCCAGATGCGTCTGACCTCCCTCTCCACTCTATCCGAAAATGACCATTTTTCGTTGACTTCACTTCCTCCTTCTGCATGAACGTCTGTTATGAATGGCTTCAAAGATCACTTATTATAGAACATAAAGCTTCTATACGTTGATCTTGTCGTATATCTTCAGCATTTTTAACTAAAAATTGATAATCATTTTCATCATGTCCACGTATTGTTAAACGTTTTGGTAATCTTAATGATTGCAATACTAAAATTTTTTCATAAAAATCAACGATTTTTATATGATGTTTAAGTAATGTTTTTTTTTACTACTGTATTGACCAGGTATTTCGATTTGACGAATTGATGATACACCTAATATACGATGTTGTTGACGAAATGTTAATGAAAACCATGTAGAATAATTATTGATATTTGTTTTGCCTTGTATAATTGATTTTAACTTATTTCCAAGATTTGTTAAAACAGATTTAGCATCAAGTTAATGAAACTGTAGAAAATAATTCTCCTTGTTTACCAAATAGATTATCAAGATCTTTTTCAATAGTATTTTTAAATTGATATTGTATAGATGTTAAAAGAAGTTTTAATAAACGACGATCTGTTTCATCATTAAAAACACTGTCTTGTGAAGCAATATTTATTGAATATTCTTCATTTGTTTCATCAATATTAATAATATCAGAAAAATACATCTTGAAATTTTTTAAATGATTCTTAAGTTTATTTAAACCTCTTTTATGAATATCATTTGTTAATAATTGAAATAATTCATTACACCATATTTCATATTGTTGTTGAGAATTTAATTATTTCTGGTGCTTGAATAAATTCATTTATTAATGATATATATGACGATCTAATTTTTGATGAATTATTTCAAGATTATGTTTTAATATTGGATCATTTATAGAATATTGTGATGTTTCATAACTTAATTCAACTGGATAAACAATTGATTAACAATAATATTTAACAATTTGTTCAATAACTCGACATAATTTCAGTCTAAATACACAAAAAACAAAATCAATTATTTTTTATTAAGGATTGAAATTTGAATTTACGCTATTGGTTTATCTAAATGTACTGTTATTTGATATAAACCATCAAAAACATCCAACATGGAATATTATGTAAACGATTAGCAATTGATTCGATTGTTTGTGGATATAATTCGAAAATTTATAATAAACGTGAAAAACGTTTAATACCTTCATTTGAATCATATTGAAATTGATAATAAAATCGATTTAATTATAAATTCATCAATTTGATTAGCATTATTATTAGAAAATAAAATTTGCATTAAACTATTTTCATCTACATTATTTTCATATCGACGTAAATAATCATCACAAAGACTAGCTAATTGATTATAATCACGACTAAGAAGATTTTCTTTAGCAACACGAGTATTTATCGAAATAAAAATTAGATTTATTTTTCATTAAATATCAACATCGAGTCCGAGATCAGAAACACCAAAGATCGAGTCGATTTTAAGATCTTGCAAATAAACATGATAAAAATGTAATCCATTTCTTTTTTCGTAGACCTTGAATGCTAGAAATATCGAGCATGATCTTTGTCAATGAGAGAACCCAACCTACGCATTAAAATTTCACGAGACCATCCCACGCCTCATTGAAAACACATCTCGTCAGAGATGAAATCAGTCCCGAGTTTTGACGACTGGCCGGTTGCCAATACCGGTTTCATTTCTATCCTACGAGCTACAATTGAGACCAGTAGAAGTTTTCAATAAGTATGTATAATGCAAGCAGGAAAAAAAATAAAATAGACTGGTCGGCCACCGATACCGGTTCCATCGAGAAACATGAATTTTGCAGCACAGAGTTTCGTAATTAACTTTCGGCAATTGCCTAAAGATGTGCTTTTGCGGTACTTTCGCCGTTAAGAAGACTGGACTATTGATAAGTGCAGAAATTCGTTCTATCCGCTCCATCTCTGCATTTGACGGCAGTCTCAGGTATCTCAAATGCTCTGTTGGATATTCTTAGAAGAGCTCCGAATGGGTCAGTCTATGCATTCCTAAAGGTATTCCTAAAGGTACTGTTTATTCATGTGAATTTTCTATCATACACTTCATTGATGTTGAAGACAGCGTCATAATCGAGCTTTGATTCTCATAGAAAAAATAATTTTCTTACTGATAAATTTTGTAAATCTGTTTCTTGTTTTTCGATATTATCTTTTAATATTTATGAATGCTTTTATTAAATAATTCCTTAATTAATAACTCAGCTTGTTATATATTATCTGTTTGATTATCTAAACCAGATAAATATATATCTAATTATCTATGTTTAGATTGAGAAATTTTTTCATCATGTTCATAATCAAAATAAGCTTTTGGTTATGCAAGTAAAAAATCAATAACCGTACGAGCAACATTGTGAATTTAATTGTATATATGTTGAATTTAAAGAAGCTGTTTGTTGATCAATAATTTCTAATGAATTTATTTTCGTTTCCATCGTTTTTTTAAATTCTTTATCAACAAGTGTTCATAATAAACTTGATAATGTTGATGTTGCTGATTGAATTTGATGACAATAAATATCATTCGAATAAATTGGTTTTAATAATGAATTTTGACAAAAAATCAAGAACTTTATAATCAGTAAGTATTGGATTGAGTGTCTGTTGCTTTTAAACGACATTGAAAAGTCATTCATGATCCACCGATTAATTCATCAAGAATCTAAAGTAAGAAAAACAAAATTTTATTTTTTTTACGATATTTAATTTTTAACTTACATATAAAACTGGAGCTCGATTTGTAACAATATCATCTTATATTTGAATTAAACTACGAATAACATCTGATAATTACCTATTGTCAAAAGTAAATCTTTATGTATACGTTCAAGAAATAAATCTCGAGTTACTCTTTCATTTTTATTATTTGTTAAATAACGATTTTCAAGTGTTTTAAGTAAAGATAAATTATGTTCAATAAATACAAGAAATTGATTAAGTTCATCATATGGTTGTATTAATTATATTGTTGTTTTACAACTATATTCACTTAAACAACTTAATTGTGACCAACGAAGTAAAAATTGTTCTCTAGCATATTGAATATAATATTTCGAAGCTTAGAAAAAAAAAAATATTCATATACTTTTAATTACAACGATGGTCTCTATATTAATCTTTTTTTTCTGAAACAAAGCTTTAAATGGACCGCGTGTAGTATTGGCTGTTCTATCCGTTATTCGAGTGTTTACAACAATTCATCGATAACTTATGATCAAAGTCTTTTTGACAAAGAAAAAAAGTTGCTAATTCAAATGAATATTGTTTTTCAATATAAGAACGTTTAACAAATGTAGATTCAGAATTTGATGTTGCTGTTGTTATTGGTCGTAGTGGTGGTGATGATTGTGGTGTAATATTTGTTGTTACCTATAAATTATTAAAAAATTGACAAAGATTTTCTTGATCTAATTGTTCTTGTTTAGTCCTTCATATAAGTAATTTAAGTTTTGCTCGTATTGCATATGACATTAAATCATTTAATTGATATGCATTTGACTATAATGTATCAAATGTTCTATTAGGAATAAATATATTTTTTGGCATAATTGTCCATTTATTTAATTGATTACAACAATTTAACATTGATTATATCCAAAATTTATCTTCTAATTCTAATGCTGTTATATAACTATTTAAAGTTGATAAAAAAATCTCAATAACTTTCTTCTTTAATTTTTTTAATGTTAATGATTTTAAACCAGGAATTTGATAAAATATTCCTCGTACATCATCATAATTAATTATTAAACGATAATATTTAGCTAATTCAAGTCAATGATCAATTTGTTTATATAATTGATTATGTAAATGTGTACTAGATTTAAGTTTTTTTTTTATTGTACCATACATTAATTCATTTTGTTCATTTAAACGAATAAAACATTCTAATGTTAATATTTCAATTGATTCCAAATGACTTGCAATTATTCTTGTACCTATATATTGTGCTAATATTTTAATTTGTTAAGATTTTGATAGAACAATATCAAGTAAAGCAGCTATAAATAATGGATAAAATATTTCAGATTGTGATAGCATAACATCAAAATGATGTTGAATTGTTTGAATTAAATCTGTGTATTCATCTTGAGATAATTTATCTTTTAATGATTTTAATATTGATGAAAATAAAGTTGAATAAAACAACCTTGCAATATGATAATCATATTGAGAAAGTATTTGAAATGGAATAATAATATCATCAGAACATATCATCTTCATCATTAGATATGATAATTGCTTGATGAATTTGTTTTATCAAAATAAACTATTATTATGAATTTTTTTTATAGTTTGATTTGATAATATTGGTAAAATAAATGTATTTGTTCTATCAAATATATTCGTTTGTTTAAGCTAATTATAATTTACATTATTATTTAACATTTCTCTTGGAATAAATTGTTGTCGATTTGACATTTCTTGAGTTTGTAAAAGCATTGTTTTTGTAGGATTTTATGGATTATTATCTGATAAAGTTTACGTAAAATTAACTGGATTGATTATTGAAGGATTTAATGTTGTTGTTTGAGAATATTCTAATGTAAATAAATGTGTCATATATGTATAATGATATTGATGCCAATTACATTCTAATAGACAATTCTTGAAATATATATTTATCAAGAGGATTGTTCGAATAGAAAACGATTATAATCAGGATTATGTGTTGGACATTCGAGAAGAAAATTTGTTGAATAATTTAAATAATTATTTTCACTTTTTATAAAATATAATTGATCAACTAAGGCAATAAGATGATGATGTGATTATATACTTAAATGTTGTAGATTACACCAAAACATGACGAAAATTAACACGTATAGTATTTATTTTTATGCGATAATAATTCAAGTAATTGTTCACGTACATGATAATAAAATGTTTCAGATATTAATATCGATAATACTTTTGTTTTATTTGTTAGATATTCTCTTATATAATCATAGATCTATATATAAATTTTAACTGTCCAATATCTTGATTGATTAGGACCATCAACTGATAAAATTTGAGCAATTTCAAATAATTGTTCATGTGTTTATTTTGGTAAAAGTTTATGTAAACGAGTGTTTCTCTTTCATTTACACATCAGATCGATTCCTTAGTCATGGAAAACTTTTCTCAAATCGCGATATTATTTACTTATGAATAAGAATATCAAACATTTCAGCTGTTTTTAATTTCAAATATGCTGAATCAAATTCTGTTCTATTTGGAATCATTGATTGTAAACATTTCATTTTGAAATCTCCATATAATTTTTTCAAACTAAACATTAATGTATTCATCATACTAAAATAAAATCAATTAATTCTTTCTTTTAAACCAAAAAATAAATAGCTTTATACGTTTTATCAACAATATCTGGATAATGTTTTTCTAATGAATAAATACATGTTACATATGTAACTTGCATTCCTTGATTACTATGCCATTTTAATATAAAATTTAATTGTTCTAATAAACGTTGATTGGATTCTTCTTTAAGTTTTTTTTATATTTAATAGTATTTTAACAACTTCAACAACTTCATTTGATTGTATTGTAATATATGATTAGCAAAATAATATTTCAATTAATGATAAACCTATTCCATTTAGTTTTGATTTTATATCAGGATCCGATATTAATTTATTTATAATTAATGCTGGAGCATATTTACGTTTTTTTCATGATTCAATTAATTTTTTAATTCAAAATAAATTTAATTTCATAACAAAAGAATTTTTATGTGTACAATTAAAAAAAGAAATATTCTAAAAGATGTTGAACAGATATAGTATCAACTTTACTTGGTATTACTATTGAATTTCATGATAATAATATAACATTTGTATCAATAAGAAATGTATTGAAACCTTCAGATGATTTTTCAAATATTTAATTACACATTTGAATAATTGGTGTTAAGCAATAACGTACATAAGATTTCAATATTGTATGTTTATGTGTAATACAGCACATAAAAATAATTTTATATTAAATCAAACTATTGAATCACTAAATTTTTTATAGAAACATATTATCCAATATGGCATATCGGTGTGAAAATTAGTATTTCATGATATAATACCATTTGTTTCCATATGTTTAAGTAATAAATTAAATCATTTTCTTTGCCCAGCAAATTTTAAAGAAGCAGTTCATCAAATGGAAAAGTCATTGATGATGATCAAACACTCAATTTAATACAATATGGATCAAATCGTTATCATAAAATGACAGTCAGTCGATGAACAAATTGATTGCATTATTGATCAAGCGACTGATGTAGATATACTTGGTCAATCTTGGACCGGTTTGTAAATTTTTATGTAATTTCATATACTTTTTCTTAATATCTATAATCTTTATTTTGACAAATAGGTGTTTTTTCTCGGTGCAAATAGTTAAATGGATTATTATTTTGTGAACATGGTGACAAGTTTTTTCTCATTGTGTGGTTCAACTTGTCTTCTTCTGTCCATTGATGATTCTATTTTTTTTGTGTAATCAAACAATAAATATAAAGAGAGAAATATTTCGGTCAAGAAATTCATTGTTTACAGTAAAAATTCTAACTTTTAAATAGCAAATAACAATATCATGATTCGATACGGTATTTTATTAATCGAATAGTATGACAATATTAAATCTCTAGCTCTTTGAAGCTTCGTTTGCTCACTTTTCCTTTTCTAGAATATTGAAATAAGTGTTTTTTTTTTGGAAATATAAATGTCAATGAAATATCTTGATATCGTTAAGTGACACTTTGTCAAGACCTTTATAAACTAATTCGTTCTCTCGTACGAAAATATAACATTTTTGCTTCACTTTATTTAAGATAATCTGACTTTCTGTTGTTTTCTTTTAAAGTGTCATATGTACAAATCATAGGTCAATTATTTACCTATAGTCGATAACAAATTGCTTGGTGACATGCTTTTACATAACAATATCTTAACGAATGATGTATTAAAAAATATCTGTTGCAGCCAGAGGTGCAGAATCTTCCAAAAAATCAAAAATTTCCACGCCCGCGCAAATTTTCTTCAAAAATTTCCCCAAGCTGTTTTTTCTTCGCCGCTCACAGACCAACTTTATTTGACACAAAATATAAGTAAAAAAACATGGCAACTTTTTGTTATGTTTGTCACTGTTCGTACAACATAGGAATTCTTTCTACTTGTTCTTTTCTCAAGCGGTTCAAAACAAGTGAACCAGGTGAAACTAATTTGAATAGACGATGCTGTTCTGTTTTTTTGAAGAAAATCCAGTGTTTGTCCTTCAGTTGAGAGAAGTAGTTGTTGAGGCAGGACTTGATGAATGGATCTGCTGGATGAAGCGGTGGTGCATTCCGAAAATGTAGGGAAATTTCAACACAGAACATACATAATATGTTGGAAAAAATCCAATATGTAATAGTTAGAAAAAACCTAGATGCGTTGCCTGAATATTTCCAACATGTGTATATGTTCTAGATATTTCCACCTGAACAACAGGTGTACATGTATAAATAGACAGACGTACACACGAGAAAGGGAAAAAACCAACACAACATGTAGGAAAAGAACTAGCATATAATGGAATGATCCATGTTGGACAAATTCTTAACATTCCTGCCTTCGATCACGGTACAGTTCAGCAAGCGATAAAAGGATGCAAAGAAATCTGTGGAAAAAAATTGCTAAGTTATACTTCGACAACAATGTGTCTGTGTTCTCGGTAAGATCAAAAACAGATCATACAAGTAAAGCAAAATACTCAAAAGAATGAATTATATCCTGTAACAGTTAATTGTGAGGAGAACAAGGTTTTCCCTTATAATAGTTTTTGTCCAAAAGTTCTCCAGTGTGACAATTTTCCAAAATCTCCCCGAGTAATGCAATTTTTCGAAAAATTTCCCCGCCCGCGCGGGCGCGCACAAGGAAGATTCTGCACCTCTGGTTGCAGCAATATAAATTCAGCTGTACCGAATTTTATTTCTCCTTTTCTCTCACGTTATGAAGACATTTGATAATGAACAAAAAATGGTTGAGCAGAAGCAAGAACAAAAAACGGTTCCGCTGAAACAAGAAAATCTCAACTAGAGCAACAACAAAAAAAAAACGGTTCAGGTGAAGTAAGAAAAAAAGATGTTCGATAGAACAGATGATCATTAAATATCTCGGTCAAGTGTCATTAAATTATAAAGTTGTTTAACATAACCTTCTTTTCTTTTTTTTATTTCTTCATATTGTGCTGCTTGTTGATCATTGAAAGTGTATATTGCTTTTCCCATTCTGTCGATGAGAAACGACAATCTCATTATTTCAAGAGCCAGATCTTTCTTCTACAATAAAAATAGTTGTTTCAAATTTTATTCGATGAAAAGAATATATGCATCCTACATCCTTATCGGACATGGCAATTTTGTTAGGCAGATAAAGAACACAGTTGAGCTCAAAAAAAGATGAAGAATGAATAATAAAATAGTAATCGATATCCGGTATTTATAGATTAGATTTTTTTTGTCAATCGAAACAAAAATGACCAATGACTAATAAAGAGGATAGAGAAAACAATACCGTTGATCATGGAAAGAACATCAAGGAAATGACATTCACTTGTTTTTTATTGTCTTCAATTAGGGCCGTTTTTCTTAAAAAAAATTTTAATAACAATACACACTATTATAAGTTTTTGACTTATGTGATATGTAGCATAATGATTAAGATCACGATACGTATTCATGTAAATCCCAACTGGCGCATTCATTGTTAAATCTTTTGGTTTTTTAGCAAGAATATTAACTTCTTTATTAAATTAAAGACCAGATCAGATCGAGATAAATCGATCGATCGATAGAAAATATCAAGAAGGGTGAAGGACAGTTGAATAAATATATGATACAAATGTTTGTAGACTAGCTATTGTTTTCTTTTTTGCGCGTGCATCTCGAGGGTCGACTAATTTTATTCTTTTTCGAAATTAAAGGAACCGTCCATGGATAAACATAGAATGAATCTATCATCCATGAAGGAAAGAAATACAAGTAAACTGTTACGACGACAACTAGTGAATCGATTATTCTTTAGAAAAGCGATAAAATAAAATTGAAAACAATTTCTAATAATCCTAAATATCTTTCAATCGTCGACTACTTGTTTATTTTTTATTCTTGAGAAACAAAATGAATTATAAAAATATTGGAAGAGAATAATGTTTATTATTTGCACAGTTGCGAGTTATAGTTGCTTTCTACATGTCTTTTAGTAATATTCAATTACTATCGCGTCTCATCAACTAATATTTCAGTTTTATCCTTCGATAAATGTACATTTTCGAGAAATTGAGAAAAAGCAAGTAATTGAAGATTGTGAGAAATATTTAGACCATCTCGTAGTTATGAAAGCAATGCTTCACGATTACATAGATAGGAATTTTGAATAGTCCACGAAATTTTCGTTATTAAAGCAATTATAAAGATGGCCGTTCTGATAAATAAAATCTTTTTGGTCAATTATCAAAATGATAGTTAAAACTACTGTGTAGAATAATAAATCAATCGAGAATTGAAATGAGTAATGATTAAGTTTCACTGAGTGTGAAAACAGTGCTTCATCGAGGTGTTTTTCCTTAGGAGAGACGCATTGAAAACAAACAGCTTTTGAACGTATTTGTAAAAAATCTTTTTTCACTTGAAAAGTTTATTAAAGATAAGCACGTTTGTAAAACGTTTATATGTTAGGTAAAAAAACGCGTTCAAACGATACTTTTAAGTAGCGTTTCTCTCCAAAAAGTTGATCTTCAAATACTATGTTGCACAAATGTTTTTTCGTGAGTAACACTACTGTGTGCTGCTTTATTGATTGATTATTAATATTAATCGTACAATCTTCATGTTTTCTAGAAAAACTCTTAGTCTGTTAATTTATTATTTAAACACTGAGTTTCTTTCTTATAGAAAAAGAAAAAAAAGACGAATTTATGAAGAAATATCAAATACAAAATAGACGGAAAAAAATTAAAAAACAAAGAAATTCTCGTTTCTGAATAATAATAAAAAAAAAGTAAAATGTTTGTACTGAAGAGTAACCGATATTTATTTTTGTATGTCTTGATAGTTTTGATTTTATTCTAACGTGCAGTCGTAATTGAACGAGCTACATGTCCGATTAAATAAATATTATCATAAAGATGACCAGCTAATTCATCACTTAATGTTTTATTTATAATAGCACGACGTGTATTACGTATAAATTCTCGTTTCGACATTTTATTTTTAACATATGGTGATGTAAGATCAATCGAAAGAAGAATTAATGCAATACATAAGACATAAATTGTTTCTTAAAAAATAAAAATTTTTCGTTTTTATAAATTAGAAAGAAATATACAATTCAGTCGATAAAGCAAGATCTTTATTACATTCGTGAAAATATTTGGAAAAATTTTCAATTAAAACCAATAAATATTTATTACGATCTTCTGGTGCATCAAGTTTAGCAAAAAAGTTTCGTAATGCAATTGGTAAAAATTGATTTTTATATGATTGAAGTTCAATAAAACGTTGCAATACATCATGACTAAAAACATAATTAAAATTAATCAACAAACTTCTCAAAAAAAAGAATCTACTGTGTTTGTAATAATTTATGTTTTTCTATGGCTCGTAATTTTCTTCTATTATGAATAAATTTACTAATCTCTTCATGTGTATCATCAAGTATTTGATTTTCAATAACATATTATAAACCCTATAAATCACATAATGTATATTAGTATAGACAATATTTTTTTTATTACTTGTCTGGCATTAAATCGTAATGTACCTTCATCAAGTTGTCAATAGATTTTGCGAAATGAAATGCCCTCATTTTGAGCTCGATTATAAATTGATGCATATCCATGCAAATACATAAACGTGAAAAACTTTGTTTTGACGCATTGATGGTGAAATTTGAAGAAAGTAAGGCATAAAAACTTGTACACTCGGCAAGTTAAAGAATTCAACGCGTAAAAATGGCTTTTTTTATACTGTCGACGCGTTTTACGGTTTGTCCAAACGAAAAGCTGTGACGTTTTTGACACACTTTTTTTTGCATTATCTCTGAAACTATAATAGCTAGAAAGTTTGTTCAAACGCCATTTGACGCAACTTGTTAAACTCTATTTATGCCATAAAAAACGATTTCTTTTCGGTAAAAGTCTCGAGCTTCGAGAAATAGTTTTTGGTCGCGTAACGCTGTGACATAAAAAGATCCTTTTTCTTCAGAGCCGCTAATAAAACTACAATTTCTTGTGAAAATAGTTCTCCAAATGAAACACTTCTAGAGCTACTTTTGTAGAGCTTTGAACGGGCTTTTAAACGCTAAAAAAATTTTTCTCTAAACTATTTTTGCTTAGATAAAAAATGTAAAAAAGAAACGTAACACCGTAACACAGTTTTTTGTCGACCAATTTTGAGGCACTTCACATATTCAGAACGATTTAATTTTTATAAGTATTAGTCTTTTCTGTATAACTAATCGTTCTACGCAAGAACGAGATCAATACATCGACATCGAAGCTCACAAGAGATGCAGTAAGTTGGAAACTACATAAAAGTCTACAAATTGTCCTTAGCCACGAAAGTCAAAGCTAAGTAGGCGATTTTGTACAAAATGAATTTCTGTATCGAATGGTAGGTCCCTCGCCTTTTTTTGGAAAAATTTCTTGGTTAGAAAATCCAAAATACAATCTTTGAAAAGTTTAAAACGCGGTTTTCAATGCCAAAATTTAATTTGTGTACAAAATAAATGTCAAATTCGTAATCAATGTTAAAAGTACATCTAATAACTCATTTAGATCTATCCAACTCAAAAAACAAAAATTTTCGAAACTTCATCAGCGAAGTGTCGCGTTACATGGACAAGCCGTTTAACGAGGATGTTGAGCCCATGAACACATTTCAACGCATGCAATTTATATACTAGTGAATTGAATGCGTTTTAACATGAATAATCATATATTTTGGGGCATTAACAAAAGAAAAATTTGAAAATAGTCGCTCGTTAAAAATCATTTCTATAGCATTTAGCTATGAAAATGTAGATTTAGAGTAAAGCAAAGAAATATCAATATATTAATAATAAGTATTCCAACTTCGATTGGATACTGAATGAAAATATAGATTTACGAATAGCAGGGATTGAAAATCAGTTCCAGGTTGAAATGCAAGCTTTTGAATAATAGATTGTACATTAGTAACTTCTCATGTTGTTTCATGATAAGTTCAATACAATAAGTTTTGTACAAAAAAAGATGTACGTACGTATGTTGTTGTCGATGAATTTTACGATGCTGATACAAATATTGTCCTCGTTAGCATATTTATATCGGCTTTTGTATGAAAAAAAAGCATAAAGATGTGTTAAATTGTCCATAGCAACAAAATAGAAAGAAACAAATAATTCGATTAGATCCTTGAAAAAAAAAACGACTAAGAAAAGTTGGGTTACTGATGTAACAAAAAAGATGATATTCAATGTTCAATAAATCCACTTAAATAGTCAAGTGTGTTTAATTCTATCAACATAATGATACTTTTTAGTCGATAGCAGATACTATTTTATCTTTATTTAATAATCCATTTTCATTGAATTAAATATATTAGAAAAGCAACAGAAAACATGAAGAATAGTTAACTGGTAAAGAAAAAATTCTAAACATAATAAATATCTGAATATGTTTTTCTCTTTTGACAATTCACTTTTTCCCTAGTTGATATTTAAGTCGATTCCACTAGCCAATATTTATCTAATACCGTGTGCTTCTGCACGTTAATTTCATTAGTCGTAACATCGTTCTTTGTTTCTTTCTCTTTGTTCCTTTGTCTCTTTCTCATAACACACTAACAATGCAAGTTGGGAATATTTGTCTCATATGTATTTGTATAGTAATCATAACGATCAACTGATTAGAACATTTTTGACAAGATTAGTTTACATTAGAATATTTTTAAGAGAATTAAAAATAGAAATTCTTGTATGAATGATGAGAATAAAAAATTTTTTTATTGCATGTCAATAGAATTTTTTGCATGAATTGAATATACAATTTTTTTAAACTAATGAACAGAAATAAAATATATCTAATTGTATTTTAATAGAATGGTCTTCATAAGAAATAGAGAGGAAGTTTTTGTATAAGCGAAAGAACCAAATCTTTTACTACATGACAATAGAACTTTTATGTTTTGACTAGAAATCAAGTTTAAAGTATTGAACACAATGAATATATTTTTCACCGTGTCTTAATAGAGTTTTCGTGGCACGCACTTAAGTCACAAGCTTTTGTATAGACAAGAGACTATAAAACTCTCGCTGCATGTAAATAGAATTTTTTTAGCGCAATGAGTTGATTAAATAAAATTATTCAGTAGTTATAGAATAGTCTTCACAAGATATAGATGAGAAGCCTACATGAATGAATGATCGCGATCTTTTAATGCATGCTTACAGAATTTTTGATAAGTTATTTAGGAATAAAGTTTTTAAAAAGTGAACAGAATAACGTCTTTTTATCGTTTGCCAACTTTATCTGCCATTTTTAGTATATAGTTAATTTTTTTCATCGCCCAATTCGTCGTGTAAGATGTTAGCAATATAACTAAATGAAATAATTTTAAGCAATTAAGAGAGCGTCCATGAGACCATCGAAAAACCGAAGCACTCGATAAAATTTAGATTTTTGATTTGATGTTCTCATTTTATTCAGCATCATCTAAAACCTCTAAATCCAAATTTTTAGCGCATTTGATTGAGCTGGCGAAAAGTTAGCTCAATTTTACTACCGAGCACTCATGAGACTATTTGAAAAATAGTATGAAAAATAGCTCCTAAAACTTTGAGATTTTTTCGATGACATTAATTTAATAAAATTTTTCGTGTAATATACCAAAAGATAGAGCATCGAAAGCTAAACAAGATTGCCTATTTGCATATTATATTTCCATGGACTAATCGATAGTTATTGATGAAATACTGCTGATGACTAGTAAATTTTCGAGTAAAAAATGTGTCAACTTTTTGCAGCGCATCGGCTACCATTCAATCATTTTAAAAGTCTCCATGCTGAATTTCATATATGTTGTACAGCTTTTTTCGCTCTACAAAATGATAAGAAAAAAGGCTAAAAACAAAATTCTCATCGAGGCGAAAATTGGCTCATAATGTTGACCAGCTTGACAGCATTTTTTAAGAAAAAATTTTTATGGATATTTTTTCTGATAAAAAATAGAAGTTCGAGTTGATTATGAAGTACCCAGAGAATTTTTTGCATAGGCACAACATATTTCGATNTCTATGTTTAGCTTGTGAAATTTTTTCATCATTTTCATAATTAAAATAAGCTTTTGGTTGTGCAAGTAAAAAATCTATAACTGTACGAGAAAATTGTGAATTTAATTGTATATATGTTGAATTTAATGAACCTGTTTGTTGATCAATAATTTGTAATGAATTTATTTTTGTTTCCATTTTTTTTAATTCTTTAGCAACAAGTGTTGATAATAAACTTGACAATGTTGATATTGATGATTGAATTTGATGACGTTTTAAATGTACATCACAATATATTTCATTCCAATAAATTGATTTTATTAATGGATTTTGACATAAATCAAGTCGATTACGTGTATCATTTAATTTTGATAAAGATAATTTAAAATTACGTTGACGTAATGCACAATATGCCATATCAAGTGACAATTGAACTTTATAATCAATAAGTATTGGATCAAATTCTAATGTTTTTAAACGACTTGTAAATGTCATTCGTGGTCCACCAACTAATTCATCGAGAATCTAAAGTTAAAATAGAAAAAGAAAATGTTTTATTTTATTTTTTTCTTCTACAATAATTGATCATTGACTTACATCTAAAAATAGAGCTCGATTAGTAACAATATCATCCCATGTTGGTATCGAACTACGAATAACATCTGGTAATTGCCATTGTGAAAGTAAATCCTTATGTATACGTTCATGAAATAAATCACGAGTTATTGTATCATTTTTATTATTTGTTAAATAACGATTTTCAAGTGTTTTAAGTAAAGGTAAATTATGTTCAATAAAAACAAGAAATTGATCAAGTTCATGATATGGTTGAATTAATTGTATGGTAGTTTTACGACTATATTCACTTAAACGACTTAATTGTAACCAACGAAGTAAAAATTGTTCTTTAGCATATTGAATATAATATTTTGAACCTATGAAACAGCAAACATGTTTTTGTTTTTATTAATATTAAAACCATATCATAAATATGAAATTCAATAAACGAAGTCTTCCACTTAGAAAACTCAATTTTAAGCAAATTTTTATCGATTTTTGAGGTTTCTAACGCATTAGATAGAGCTCACGAGGGAATATTTTTCACTGATCAATCGCTTTTGAGTTCGAACTTGATGCATTATGTAGACCCTATTGAAATATTCTATCAAAACTTGTAGGTATTTTACTGTAATTTTGACCTAGAACATGGTATACACTATAAAATTGAAGTACAATGTTTCAAGTTAAGGTTAAGTCTGCAGATAGTTCTATTTGTGACTAATATATCTTGAAAGTTTCAGCTCACAATAATGTTTCTTTCGTGAAATATTAGAGCTCCCAAACTGCTAGAATACTTCTGAATTTTTGGACTTACATATTTCAACAAAGAAATATTATTTTAAGTTGAAAGTTTCAAGATATTTTATTCACAAATAGAACTATATGCAATTTGAATATTAACTCGACACATAGCACTTCAATTTTTTAATGTATACTATGCTATAGACCAAATGTGCAGTAAAATGCATATACGTTTTGTCAAAAGACCTAAGAGCATTTGTTCTTTAGTAGTTTTTGTGCATACTTTCCAATACACTATAGTTTTTTGATTGCCATGTTAATATTTAAGGATTTTATAGAAGCTGTTCTGAACTCATCTACAGAAAAAAAATTGACTGTTTTTCTAAAAACTCGATTGTTATTGGTATCTCTGTGGACATCGTGTATGTTCATATGAAAATAAAAACAATTATCTTTTTCATCTTCATATACGTTCATTTGATTCATTATAATCAATGAACTATGGAAAATTACTTAATGATTCTTTTTATATCATCTTGTGAAGGAAAAATCTTTGAATTACAGTTTTAAAAGTTATATTTGAATTTTCTCAAAAATCGGTTTTTGTTTTAGTATACTGTTTATGCGGGAAAACCTTTCTGAGTAACAACTCAATAGAAAAGCAATAATGTTTTCTTTGTTATATAAAAGATACGTGGGGCTAGATTCAAATAGAACCCAATTTTTAAATTTCACAAATAAAAAAAAGACTTCGACTAGCTATACACATGATCAAAATCTTTTTGATAAAGAAAAAATATAGCTAATTCAAATGGATATTGTTTTTCAATATAAGAACGTTTAACAAATGTTGTTTCTGAATCAGATGTTGCTGTTGTTATTGATGTAACATTTGTTATTGATGTAACATTTGTTGTTGCTGATAAATTATTAAAAAATTGACAAAGACCTTCTTGTTCTAATTGTTCTTGTTCAGTACCTGATATAAGTAATTTAATTTTAGCACGTATAGCATATGGTATTAAAGAATTTAATTGATATGCATTTGACCATAATGCATCAAATGTTGTATTAGCAATAAATATATGTTTAGACATAATTGTCCAATTATTTAATTGATTACAACAATTTAACATAGATTGTGTCCAAAATTCATGTTCTAATTCTAAAATTGAATCATTTATCATCTGTTAATGGATATTGTTCTAATGCTGTTACATAAGTATTTAAAGCTGATAAAAAATCTGAATGACTTTCTTCTTCAATAGCTTTTAATGGTAAAGATTTTAATGATGATATTTGACAAAAAATTCCACGTATATCATCATAATTTGTTATTGAACGATAACATTTAGCTAATTCAAGCCAATAATCAATATCTTTATATAATTGATTATTTAAACTAGGATCAAATTTTGATTTCTTTTTTACTAATTTATATAGAAGTTTATTTTGTTCATTTGTTTGATTTAAATGAATAAAATATTCTAATATTAATATACCAATTGGTTCTAAATGACTAGCTATAACAGATGCACTTATATATTGAGATGATATTTTAATTTGTTTTGGTTTAGATAAAATAATATCAAGTAAAGAAATAATAAATGATGGATAAAAAATTTCTGATTGTGATAACATAACATTAAAACGATGTTGTATTGTTTCAGTTAATTCAATATATTCATCATTTGATAATTTATCTTCAAGAGAAGTTAATATTGATGTAAATAAATTTGAATAAAGTAAACGTGCAATATGATCATCATATTGTGCAAGTGTTTGTAATGATATAATAATGTCACTAAAACGTATTTGTATATCAGGTAATTCACCAATACGATATGTACGATATTTTTCAACTTGATTTTCTTGTTTAAGTTTAATATCACTAAGAAATTTTGTTTTCATGCAAAATAACTATGTAATTTACCTGTATCTTTAAGAAATCATCGTTTAACACGAAATATATCATCATCATCATTATTATTTTTATTTTCATTTTTATTTAATTGATTTATTGTTAATGAATTTTGTTTTAATTTTTGATCTTTATTTTCAAAATTAACTAATAATGATGTTGTTTTATTTTGAGTTGATAATGTTGGTAAAATATATGTATTTGATGTATCAAATGTATTTGTTTGTTTAAGCTAATTATAATTTGTATTATTATTATCTAATACTTGTGTTGGTATGAATTGTTGTCGATTAGATATTTCTTGTGTTTGTAAAAGCATTCGTGTTGTTGGATTTTGTTGTTGCTGTTGTTCAATCTTATTAGCATTCTCTGTAAATGTTTGCATAAAATGAACTGGATCCATTGTCATAATATTTGTATTAACTGGATCATTTGTAATTTGAGATTGTAATGTAAATAATGGTGTCATATATGTATGATGTTGTTGACGCCAATTACATACTAATGGAAATTCATGAAATGTACATTTATCAAGTGGATTTTCGAATATCAAACGATTATAATCAGGATTATGTGTTGTACGTTCAAGAAGAAAATTCGTACAATAATTTAAATATTCATTTTCAGTTTTTATTGAATATAACTGATCAACTAATGCAATAAGACGATGATTTGATGAAATACTTAAATGTTTCGGATCACACCAAAAATTGCGACAATTAACACGAATATATTCATTTTTACTTGATAATAATTGAAGTAATTGTTCACGTACTTGATGATAAAATTTTTCAGACATTGATTTTAAAGAAGTATCTTTTTAATTTGTTATCTGTTGTGTGATATAATCATACATCCATTTATATATTTCAAGTGTCCAATATTGACATTCATTTGAACCATCAAGAGATAATGTTTGTGCTATTTTAAATAATTGTTCATGAGTTAATTTTGGTAAAAGTTTATGTAAAAGTCGTAATGCAACACTACGAATACTAAAATCTCTGAAATAAGACAAAAAAAAACGATGTTTTTTAATGGTTTTACTCGTTAATATGTTTTATAATTAATAAAATGCTCTTTAGAATATATCATAAGAATGAAATGAAACAAAGTAGATGGAAGACAACTACGCAACAGCTCCTAATTGAAAAAAAGAGTACGTGTTTTCATGTGAATTGAGCCTATTGATCATGATTTCAAACATGACAGTTTATCAACTTGTAAACAGAGTGGTTAATAGCTTTTAAGATGAGCAAATTAGTATCGAATAAAGGAGAACTTATTCAAGACATGTTGATTTACTTCGTAGGAAACTGTCACATATGTAAAACAGAGCCTCGATTTAAACCTTAACTATAAATGAAATATCGTAATACATGTAGTGGAGTCAATGCTTTAAGTTCCTAGCTGAAAACTATGTAAAGTCTGTACGTAAATGATATTGAGTATTAAACAGGGTATATTTTTGAATAAAGCTACTTTCTTTCTTTTCTTTTTTTGCAGGAAAAGGCTTTGAAAATTCATCGTTAGACTTCGATGAAGTTTGCATGTGTAGAACAAATCAATTATGAAATTTATTACAATTTAAAAATCATTTCATACAACCTATGAATTATATTAACAAATCTAAGTATTTTCTGATTTTCTTAAGCGAATTATCTTATAAATCATATCTTAGATAGTATAATTCAAATCATAAAAATGAGTATTGAAAGAGTTGTTTTTAGATGTAATATGAATAAAATCTGCAACAGTTTTTTTTTTCTCATTTGAAACTATAATTGAGATAAGCACTACAGAATTTGCCAACTATTCTTAGAAATACGACTCTTCATGAGTCAAAAGAAATCAATTTTCGCTCTCTTCTGGAGATGTCATTCATTCTGCATGCATTTCATACAGTAGCCGTGCGAAGGTCTCAGGATTGGGAAGGAATGTAAGTGCCTCAAGAATTTTCGACAGAGGTATTCACGTCAAAAAAAAAAACGTTTTCTATCCCATTTTCCATAGATGACTTTTTGGAGTACCATTCAGCGAGATATTCGTTTTGCTTAAAATAATCAATATTTTCTCATGCTAAAATGGCTTTTGCTAAAACAATCGATTCAGCATTTGTTTTAAAAGAACATGCCGCTGTAGGCGGCAGCGTTTTAGAGTTGTATTAGACACCAAATTGCATAGAGTGTCTAATGTACTGAAATAAGAAGTCGATTTTACGAGAGATATAACAGAAGATTTTATTTTATTTTACATATTCAGTCGCTGAGAGCGACTCAGCTTTCAACCAATATTTATCTTGAAATACGAAAAAGAAACCGAAAACGTATTTCATATTGAAATCCAACATGGAACGGAGCCATCCGATGAAAAACTTTCTCGCATAACCGAATTCGTGGAGCGAAATTTCTTTGAGAATGCAAAAAAATAGGATTTGGAAAACTGTCTTTTAAGATAATTTATCTTCAATAGTCTATACGCCAGTATTATGGAAGGATTGTACAACACCCGCCCCCCTCCACCTTCACTTACGGTCGCTAATGTCATAAAAATTCCTAATTATGAAAAGATTCTATTTACTTATGAATAAGAATATCAAGTACTCCAGCTGCTTTTAATTTCAAATAAGCAGAATCAAATTCTGTAACATTTGCAATCATTACTTTTAAGCATTCCATTTTAAAATCTCCATACAATTTTTTCAAACCAAATATTAATTTATTCATAACACTAAAAAAGAAAAATATGTTTGTTTTTATTTTCAAAATAAAATTTCTTACGTTTTATCAACAATTTCAGGATAATGTTTTTGTATAGTTTGACCACTATGCCATTTTAATATAAAACTTAATTGTTCTAATAAACGTTCATTTGATTGACCTTTTAATTTTTTAACATTTAATAACATTCCAACAACTTCAGCAGCTGCTGCATAAATATTTCGAAAAGAATTTGTCATATTTTTTAATAATGTTTCATTAAATTTATCTTCAGTTAAATCATTTATTTCATTATATGGTAATATATTATTAGCTAATAATATTCCAATTAATGATAAACCAATAGTATTATGTTTTGATTTAATATCTTGATCAAATATTAATTTATATATAATCAATGTTGGTGCATATATACGTTCATTCCATGATTCAATTAATTTTTTAATTAAATCTAAATTTGTTTTCATAACAAATGTATTTTTATGTGTACAATTAAGAAATAAATATTCTAATAAACGTTGTACTGCTGTTCTATCAAGTTCACTTGGTATAGCTATTGAATTCCATGATAATAATATAACAATTGTATCAATAAGAAATGTATTTAAATCTTCAGATGATTTTTCAATCATTTGATTACACATATGAATTATTGGTGTTAACCAATAACGTGCATAAGATTTAAATATTGTATGTGTATGTATAATAAGACGCATAATAAATAATTTTATATTAAATGTTATTGTTGTATCACTAAATTTTTTTTATAAACAAATCATCCAAGGTGGCATATCTGATTGAACTGGTGTTATACCATTTGTTTCCATATGTTTAAGTAAACATATCATTGGTACCATACATGGATGTAAATTAAGTTCATCCATTTCAATTTCAATAAAATTAGCTCCAAAATCATTTTGTACCTTCGATTAATGCTGGTCTATTATCATTTTTTGTTATTTAAAGATATTTCAAAAGAATTTTCTGATAATGAATTTAATTGATTTTTATTTAAATCATTTTGTTGTTGACTAGCAGCAACAGATGTAAAATCAAATACAGCTAATTCATCAGTTAAACTATTACCAACTAAATATTGTGATGGTAAATAACGTGGTGTAGTTGATGAACGTTGTTGATGTAATTGATTATCAGAATTTGATGATGTAAGAATTTTTTTACGTAAAATATTTAATAATGTACGTTTATCTTTTTTATAATAACGTTCAAGTTCAAGAGGAAATTTACGTATATTTATAATCTGGATCGATTATATTTTCAAATATATATTCATCCTATTAAATAAAATAATAAAATAATTTTCTATAATAACATACAATTAGTAGAAGGAAAATCTAAATGGATTATAAAAATAATCAAACTTTTTTTTATATAACAATCTGACCTTTCTAGAGAGCCTTTTATATCTTTCCATCATCTACACAACGAGTTATTCAAATGTGAAGGAAGGGGAAAAAAACTATACTTTATAAGTTATGCTGCTATTAAAAAGATTAATTGAATGTAGCTTTAATTCGTTATCTGGCTAAGAATTTTTCTTTTGATTCAAACAAAAGTCATTTCAATAATCATGTGATTAGTTTTTAAACTATTTATCTGAAACTACTTTTGGTCCTTCTCAGCATTGGATCAAGTCAGTATTAAAATAACTTTTCAACGAAAAAAAGAAGTTTGTCAGAATACTTGAAAAATACATAAGTCTATTCAATTTTCGATGCATATTCAGAGTATCATATTAGTTTTCATATCGAAATCTACTAAACACCAGTACAAAAAAAAAGACTCAAAGTCTTGCCTCAAGTACAGTGTACTTACGAATTTCTTTGTGTCGCTAGTGTGTTTTTCCTCGAATCATCTTGAAATGTTTTAAAAGTGCTATCGGGTCATATTAAAATAGGCTGAGAAATGATAAAAACTGACACCAGAGGTGTATCAAGACAATATGCTCTATGTGAATTCATATCGACTAGTAGTTTTATCAGTATAATGTGCACTACACCGGCAGCGTACCACCCAAATCTATTGAAAATATTGTATCATAGTGAATAATTTAGAAGTTTATTAATACGAACAGCATTGTGTTGTTCTCGATATATTCTTATAATGTTGATATCTCTGAGTCGCTGGTATTAGCTATGAGAGTTTGAATTGACTACAACTATGAGATAAACTCGAGGAAGCAATGATGGACTTCTATACTCCTGGAGTCTATCGAATGTAGTATATAAAACCAAGAAGAACACAACGTACTCTAGTACTTCCATACTTCCTAGATTTCTTGTACTCGCATTGTATTTTATAAACTCCATGAACTTTAGAAGTACTGTGGAAGTCCACGGAGTCAATGTACTCTGACTGGACTTCATTGAACTCCCTGTACTCTGGAAGTCCACCCGCAGTATATGGATTCGATGCAATAAAGGGGTAGATCATTTTCGACATTAAAATTAAGTGCAATTTTAATTAATTATATGATTAAAAGAGAACGAGAACAAAGATAGCTACTAAGCGGATCAAGTGACCCACTGCTTAAGAAGAAAGTAAAACAACTTGATACTGATGCAAATGGCTTATACATACACTTCTCTTTTTAAATGTACCGGTATAGTAGAGGAACTGCCCAGGATTTCAACTTGATACAGGTCTTCTATCTAGGAACTCATATCTGCACTTATAGTAGTTTCAAAATTTTCTAATCCGGTAAAGAGATGCCTAGACGAAATTCAGCTTATGCTATCTCTTATTTGATTACGATATTCCATAAGCACCAGAAACTATAAGTAAATGCTTATGCGGCAAAAAAAAACAGAATAAAGAGACTATTACATAGTGATAGAATATCTTTATCAAAGTATTCTGCTTGAATAATGTTACCAAAGGTTTTTGAAAATTAGTAAAATGCTTGAAAAAATTATCTAACTATTTTTTTTTATTTATTAATATGCATTACAATAAGAATTTAATTTTTGTACTAATGTTGGAAATAGTTACAAGTGATAGATTTCGACATGCTAAATATTTTTGGTATGAGGATCATCTTGAAATATTGTCAAGAGCTCTCGTGAATTCCATAGAAACGGTTTCAATCAAACTAGCTACAATAATTGATTTACTCCAATGATGTCAAAGCAATGATTGATTTACCCCAAGTGGGTAAATCAATTAAATTTTTTTTCTGGTACTCTCAGAAACTTTTTTTGTGTTCGGTTTTATTTTAATTTAAATAAGTAGGATTAGTTTAGGATTGTAGAAAAATGTTTGGACTTTCTAATGATGTAAAAATTTTCTATACTGGGCTCACAGAACCTTTAAAAATAAGGTTTTATATAATACAGGTAAAGATATATAGAACTAGCGAGAATCCGTGCATACTGCACGGCAGTATTTTTTTAACCCACGATCGCAAACATCTAACCTTTCACTCGGTAACACACACACACAACATTATGTACATAGAAGCCCTACCGCGTAATATCCTTATATCGCTAATCGCCCGTGTTGCCTTATATTTTTTCTAGCCCTTGTAGCCTTTTCCGCTTATAGCCTTACCCCCTCATACTCCTACTTCCTTACAGCTTTTTTCACCTTTAACCTTTGACCTTTGGCCCGGCACAGAGAAACAGATACTGAACATTATATATATATAATTGATTTACCCCATATGGGATAAATCAATTATAAGAGAGGTAGAACTCTGAAAAACCGGCGTAGATCTGTTTCTGAAGAGTATTTTGAGAAACTAAACATACAGATTGATAGAACATTGTCTGCTCTACATGAGTGGTAGCAAAAATATTTTTATCCAATAAAAAATAAAATTTATAGAAGAGAAAAGACAAACCATTGTAAAAAATAATTAATTTATTCATCATAGTCAACCTTTAATCTAATCCGACTACTTCAGAGTACAATGAAGAATAGATTCTGAATTATATGAAAAAACAAAAAATACTCTTTTTCGCCTCAATATATCATTGTAGACAACAAAGATCAAATTGATTAATATTAATAGAACCATCTCATCTTTTTTCTTAGATACAAATAACTAAACATGATTAAAGTTTTTCATTTATGATTAGATTTTTTGTAATTAAAATTAAAAATAAAAGAACTTTGGACAATAATTCATCATTCATTTAAATCTCTGACCATTCATCATTATTTTATATAATTGGTTGAATTCACCATTATAATTTTATTTAAGTCTTCATTTATATTTTTAAAACAAATAGAATAAATTGTATCTGTTGTTTATTCTTTCGTTTCTGTTCTTCATACAACGCGTATACAAACACAGAAAATATTGGAAAGAAGTAGACATAACATATTTTCAAATAACTAATCTTATTATTATTACAATAAATACACGCAAATGTCTATGACAACAACAACAACATATGCTCAATCCTTATTACAAAAAATGTCATCAAATGATAAAGATTTACGTTTTCAAGCAGTAACAAATTTAATGAATGATGTACGACAACAATCATTTAAATTAGATGATGATAGTGAATATCATGTGGTCCAAAGTGTTTTAAAATTATTAGATGATACAAATAGTGAAGTACCAAATCAAGTTGTTCAATGTGTTGGACCATTATTATATAAGGTAAACGGACTATCATTTAAAATAATATCTGATGCATTATGTTCAACTTTCACAAATATGTCAAAAGATACCGAAAAATTGCATGATATGAAAGTTACAAGTTTAAAAACAATTTTGGCATCATTTCTACAACAACAGCATGCAGAAAATATCTTTAATCCACCAAATATACTTATGAATCATTTAGTAACAGTTATTGCTGAAAGTTCAAGAACAAAAGCGAATAGATCAACTGGAAGATTACACAATGCTGGGCATGGTGAAATAGAAATTCTAGATCTTATTCGTGATACACTATCAGCAACACCAGATGCTCGATACAAATTTAATCTTTGTCATATACCATTAATAAGAATTTTAAGAAAAAATCTAGCATCACCACGAGCAGATATTCGACAAAGAGTACCAACACTAATCAAGTATTTATATATGGAAGTAACTATATTTATAATGAGAAACTTTAATTCTAGAATGATTCCTTGTTACGGACAAAAAATCTGTGTTTGCAGCAAAGTGTATCAAAACATTATGCGTACACAATGAACATATTAAAATGATTTTTGACGAGACAAAGCGCATGATTGAATTTTATTTTAACAAACAATCTTTTTATTTTTGATGAATTTTTTATTTATTCATCATGCGCTTTTGTATTTTTACTGAACAGCGATGTTTTAAAAAATAAGGCTGAGAATATTTATCTTAAGATACTTTGAAAATATATTAAGTTCCTTAAGAAGTCGAGAAGAGATCAAACTTAACTTAGTCTAATTTTTTCTTTCCAGCTATAAACATTCTTTATTTTTTTTTTGGTCACTTAGATCCTTTTCGTCATTGTTATTGTTTTCTAATAAATAGAAAAACTACAAGAAGCATGAGTATTAAAGAAGATACAAATAGTGAAGTAAAAAATCAAATTGTTCAATCTTTTGAACCATTATTATATAAGGTAAACGGACGATCATTTAATATAATATCTAATGTATTATGCTCAACTTTTTTTATTTAATTAAATTATGTTCTTTTTCTTTTAGCGTGACTTTTTCATTTTTCGTATAAACAACAACGGTGACTGCCGATGAAAATAATCTCAATGATAGACGAAAAAAAAAAGAACATCCGTCAATTAATTTGACTATTTATTCAGGCTATATTTTTCTTCATCGAGGTCATTCATTCATTTTATTCAATGATAGCAGCTGGCACAAACAAACAATGAACATAAACATATATATATATATATATGTACAATAAAAAAAGTGTTAGTCAAACTCAATATGAACCTATCGAAGGTTGCCCTTCTTGATTTACCTAATGAAATATTGTTTATGATTTTTAAAAAACTCGACAATATAGATGTTCTTTATTCATTGTTGGATGTTGATAATCAACGACTTGATATTATAGCACAAGAAAATACTTTCACTAATACTCTCAATTTTCTAATAATAACGTTAACTGACGACATTTTGTCGCTTACCGATTCAATAGTTGATCGGTTTTGCACAAATATATTACCAAGAATTCATCAAAATGTTAAATCTCTTATACTTGATTCACTATCTATGGAACGTATTCTTCTTGTTGGCGATTATCCTAATTTAACTGAAATTAAACTCTTTAATTTTAACGATAAAATTGTTTCACGTTATTTTACAGGTAAATAACTTATGTATTGATTAGAGTAAAGATTTAGATGAAAAACTGTTGTATAGATAGACTAGATAATAACTATTTGTGTTTTATTTAGTTGAAACACCATTTCGATGTATTTTTCAACGACAAATTACAGATCTTATTCTTGTATTTGAAAATGATTTTAATGAAATATTAGAAAAAAATTATACAACAGATGTATATGAATATATTTTGAAATATTTCGAAAATCTAAAGCATTTATTTATTATGGGATCATTTCCCCGTTTTTTTCCACCTTTGGTACTTCGTAATTTACCTTCAACTACTTTCTTCTCTTCAACTCTTAACAAATTATATATTAATTTGATGACTTATGATGATTGTCTTGCTTTACTTGATGGTCGTCTCAAACAATTAACGACTTTGATTGTTACTATTGATAAAATGGAATATTCGTCGAATGTTTACAATTTAGTAAGTTTATACTTTATTAGATTTATTTTTTCAACTTACAAAAATACTATGTAGGGTAATAATTGGTTTTATATTATTATAGATAGATTTTTTTTTGTTAATGAATTAGTATTGATTTGAATCAATTATAATTAAATAGATGTGAAATGAATGCTTGTGTATTTGATAAGTAAATACAGTCAATTTTATATATCATATTTTCTTGCTATAAACAGTATTTTTGTTTTTGCTTACTTAGATCCTTTTAGTCATTGTTATTGTTTTTCTAATAAATAGAAAAACTACAAAAAGCATGAGTATTAAAGATGAAAAGGATCAAATGCACTAAAAGAAGAACAGATAAAGATTATTAAATATAGAAAAGCTAGATTGGAATCACTTTCATTTGTTTTGAACTGATAAGTTGTTCGAAGAAGATTTTAATGTAAATAACATTTGTTCAAATCAATTCGGATGATTTTGTATAATGCAAATAGTTATATCATATCTGATGATATGACTTGTTTGCTATACAAATAATATTTTTTATCTAATACAGACATAATAATAAACTTGTTGTAAAATTTTTAAGTTCTTTCAATATCCGTTATTTTTTATATTCAAGAAGTATAGAAGATATTTATATGCTAAAGTAGAAGAAATATTTAAAAATGAATTAAATAGAAATAGAGATGTTTTTCAATCTTGAATTATTCATCTAAACTTTTTTTGTTATTTTTATTGATTAATAATATATTGTTTTATATTTTCTAGAATAATTTACCCAATTTGAAATGTTTTTCTTTAACAACATCTTATTGCTCAACAGTTTTATATGATACTCAAATTCTATCTCTTTTTCATCGTATGTTAAATCTTGAAGAATTAACATTGTATATTACTATTAAAAATCGAACTACATTGATCGATGGTATTCACATTTCTAATGAAATTCTTGTTCATATGCCACGACTTCATATATTTAACTTTTGTATTTCTACTAACATTAATATGGATCATTTAGGGCATTATTTATCTAAAGATGATATTCAACGAACTTTTACTAATACAATATATCGACAAGTGGATTGTATTATAAGTAACGGATATGATATTGCCACATATCGTGTCTTTTCATTACCGTTCATGTTTGATTGTCTTGAATCTATTGGTAATATATTTCCAAATATTATTTTCAGTAATGTTACACGGTTGACAGTGAACGATATAGTTCCATTCAAACATGAATTTTTCCATCGAATTGCTTGGTCTTTTCCTTTACTGAAACATTTATGGGTTATTAATCGTGAACCACAGGGATCAAAATCAGACAAATTGAAATTTAATTATAATCAATTCTATTCAATTGTTAAATTTCCTTATCTTATTTCGCTTCGGCTTGATACTGCTTATATTCATTATACCGATCAATTTCTCAATGAGACAAAAACACATCTACCTCGTCTAACCAAATTAACAGTCTGTTATAATGCTTTATACATGGTGACAACAAACTTTAGAAGAGGTACAACACGGCTTAATTGCAGGAAAATAAAACAATTAATTATGAATACAATAATGCCAAGAATAAAACGTTCAAAACATTTCAATGATTATTTTCCTGTGTTAGAATCCTTCGTTTGCCCTTTACTATATGAATATATTAGATAATGTAAACATATTAATAGTATTTTTTTGCAATCGAATCATATTATCCAAGACTTATTAATTACAAATGCTTATTAACTCTGGATTTTTTTTTCTCCAATAAATGTTTAAATTTTACATCTTGTTCATTATATGACATATATCGGAAAAGATTAGTTTGCTTATCTCATATGCTTGCAATAGTTCAATAAATAATAAAAATCAATCTATTGTCTATTCATAAGCAGTGATATATAGTTTTAAATAAATTATTAGAATTAGATAAAATAGATTTAAGTACGTTTTTTGTATATGAAAATTCAATATTGTGTTTAGTAGCATTTTGTTTGCATACTTTAACCAATAACTTTAACATATTCAACTCTTCAAATGTCAGCTATGAATTATTCTTGTTCTTCATTTTGCGTCTAGATCATCTGTGACAGTCATTTATTGCTTTTTGGTTCTAGTTCAATATTGTCAGGATGGTCAAATTTAAAACTTTTTTTCTGAATATCATTGCGGTAGCAGAACTTTTTTTAATAGTTCATTATGGCTTTGCAGTGACGGATTTTCATCTGTGATAAATATTTCTAGTATTAGATGTCTTCTATTTTTTTTTCAATTTCTGATTATACTTATTTGTTAGTGATTAAATAAATAGATAAGATGGTTATTGAAAACATGTATACTATATAAAGGACAATTTGATATTGAATCTGACAGATTTGACGTCAATGTAATCTGGAATTATGTTTATCATAATCAAAGGTATAGTCTTTTTCTATAGACACGATTTATGCTTCAAATAGTTAACAATTTCAAAATTTTAGTTGAGCTCATTAGATCTTTATCCCACTTGTACTAAACACCTTTGTTTATGGTATGAAAGAAAGAATGGAAAATTCATAGGATGGAAAGTCGAATAGATGATAAACATGACTATGCAAATCCATAAAGAAGACGAAATCGAAAAATTCATCATGAATATGACGGGAAAGGAAAAGTCTAACACACGAAACATATCATGAGAGAGAGAGAGAGAGAAATATCTTATGACTGTAGGTAAATATATGCTGCACATAACAAATCTGACTTTATATAGGACTTCTTTCTTTGAAAACTAAATTTTCCTGTTTGTCACAATTTTCAACAAGTAATAGTTTCTCAATCGTCCAAAAAAAGATCTCGTATTCTTTTGAAGAATTTTTTATTGATATATTTGCCAGTGTTCATCAAACTCAACGTTACACATAGAGTATTGTATATTAATCGAGAGAGAATTTCGTTCCCTCTCTCTATGGAAATTTCAATACTGTTTATTTTACGATTTCATTTATGTGAATATAGATATAGTATTTTAAAACCTTGGAATCTCTTTACATGCAGTATAAAAGATAATTCTTTCAAGATCTACAACAACTTCTAGTTCTATGAACAGATTCATTTTTGTAGAACAGAGTCTAATAAATATTTTATTTTTTGAGAATCGAGCCTGTCTATCATACCATTAAGTCACACTTACCTTTATTTCAGAATATTCGAAACTACTAATATGGAACTGTCATAGATCTAATTCTTTCTTGTTATGGGTACATATGATCTTTGAAGAATTTTTTAAAATAGCATCGAGAATAGAAATTTTTTCTGAGCGAATAACCTTCAAATGTATTTTCATAGATAGACATTGCTTAATTAACGGATTAACGAACCCAAACATTTAGAACATGTAGCTGCATAACTCCCATATCAATAACATTCGTATAAGAAATTACTATTTCCTTCTTAATTTTACTTCGCCACAAGAGGAACGATGCCAACTGCCTAAGTCTTATGTAAATCGGAAAGTTTTGTTTAAGTAGCACAATGAATCATTTTTGATTGCTAGAGTATTATCAATCATGTTTAATTAAATTTAATAATCTGAAATATGAAGTGAGAACGTGTTTTAGAAATTTATCTTACAACAAAAATACTAGAAGAAATGTGTTTAGAGGACATCATTAATCTTATCTAATAATAATTTTATTCGTTCTTGTGATATTGTGTAATAGAGATGGAATGTACAGAATTACCTCTCATTTCCATCAAATGGAACCTAATCGGCCTCCATCACTAGTTGAAACTAAGTTGATTTGAATTCTAATTTTATAACTTGAATATATTCGAGAAACGGTACACGCCTTTTATTTCAATAAATTTATTCAACATTCAGTGTACTGTTACTTTTTCTTACAGACTTAGCAGATTTACATGACATTAAAATTTTCTATTTGTCGCTGTAATTCTGACCAATGATAGAAAATAGTCTCTCTTTTGAACATGACGATCATCAAATAGCGTGTATTTATTGCTATGAACTATGGTACACATCTGTTTTATGGATATGGTCTTGAATTAGAATCACACATGTAGAAACATGATCTACAACAATTCGACACATGTAGAAGTATGTTTTTGGAATCTTTTCGTTCGATTATTGTTATATAGAGGGTGGTGTGTGGGTATGGATGTGTATGCTGATCTAATCTCATCCACATCCACATCCACCCAAACCCACACCGAGTCACACCCACACCCTTTAATCAATCCAAAACTTGTTTGATATTGATTGTATGAAATTGGATAATGATTCATTTTGGAAAATATCAAAATGCAACTGTCTGGCGTTTTCAAGAACTACGTATGAAACTACGCTATTGGTATTGCTATTCGACTGAAATATTGCAAGCCAATCATGATCTTCATAAGTTTGCTGTCATACATGATACGTAAGTTGCTAGTATTTATTGCATGAAGGACAATAATATCGTTGTAGCACAACAGAACTGATCGACCAAATTGAAACGATGGTTAGACATGGACTAGTCAGACTCTTTTGAGTTCTCTCGGGATAAATTTATCAAAAGTAACGGAGTATCTAGCCACCTAATTTATCAGAGTGCATACTTTTCAAAAACTGAAATCTATCTCTACACTCTTATAGTTTTTAGGTTTCTGCTAGAATGTTTTACAATGACAATCGAAACATGTATTGTTTTTATTGAAAATTTTATTCATAATAAGAGTCCATGAATAGAATGAAGATCTTTCTCGATGAGAAAATGTTCGACAATTGCGCATTGTGAAATCGTCGACAATTTATAGAAATCTTCCAAAAAAAAAGAAAGCATGTGAGTTTACGTCGTAATAAGAAACTAATAGTATGTACGATGTGAAAACAATACTTATGGCGATCATTGTGCAAGAAATTTAAGATTTTTTTCAAAGAAATAATTATTCGTAGTGTTTTATTTCAAAAGTTATTTTTTTGACAAAACGAATACTGTTATCTCCATACGGATTGATCATTGATCTGCACGACTCAATGCTGGGTTTTGTTACAAAAAAAAACTTAATATGATACTGTAGGAAGTATTGGCATAATAATTATTTGAACGTAACCAACTGAGCGGTCTCTATACAATAATTTCAAATAAATGAGCAAAAAAAAGTTATTGGCTTAGATAATTGACTCAAAGATCGAATATTAATTATCTTTTTCGATAACTCTTCGTGTAACTTCTGTGATAATTTCATTTAGAATAACTTGACCAGCACCAACCATTAGTTTGATTATGGTCGATCCATAAGCTCGATGTTCACCTTTGATCATTGCTTCATAGCCTCGTTGAGCCACATAGCGTAGGTCATCAGCCGATTCCATATGATTTGCTTTACTATCGCTCGCACCAACCTCATTGAAGCAGTCCTAAAAGATAGTTCGATTGTGTCAAATAGTTCATTTGAAAAGTCTCTTTTAAAATTCTCATGAAGTACTAGACGAAATATGTCTATGGAAACGTGTGTGCTTTCGACAATGAAAAATGACTGAAGCAATGAAAAAAATGAAATACATTTCTGATCAATCAAAGTCAATTTATAATGAAAATGAATGATGATCGAATAATAAAATATGATCTCAAGTTTCAACGTATTATACAAAATCAACAACAACAACATGAAAAATGTATTTATATATGAGCAAAATCTTTAGGACAATGGTTAACGTGATTAGAAAGATTAAATAAATAAATAATATTTGCTTTTAGTTCATCAATATTTTATTGTATTAAATCAATCTATTGATCTTCAGCAGTTATTGATATTTCTATAGGTATATTACATTTACGAAATAGAGTCCATCCGGTTTATCGTTTCCGAGGGAAACGATAAAAAAATTTCTGTATTCTTCTTTTATATTTTAGGATTACGTCCTTTCTTCACATTTTTTTTCTATATGTTTTTCTATATGATGTTATATTATTTGTAGCTTTTTAAGTACTATCGATAGAATTCAGAGTGGTATAGCAATCCCAGAGACACTAGATGAGGCTCTAAAGTCAAACCTAGAACACCACTTGAGCTGCTCTAGCACTCCAGAAAACGATGCCTGGCGTGTATCAAATAATTGTTTCGGTCAGTCTAGTAAAAACTCGTCAGATTACATGTTGTATATCTGCAAATAATGCAAATTTGATAGTAGCAACTCGTGATTCTTCCTTTTCAGTGTTTTCAAAACGTGAGATAAAGGTAGTCCTTACTGTGTGCACAGAGACGAGCATTGGTCGCGGCTCTGCGGGGGGTGCTACGCGCCCCCACGCCGCGACACTGATATAAAAGGTCAGCTACGCGGGCCAATGTTTTTTAAGCCTATCATCGGTGTAATATTTTAGTTTTTCGCTTTTCATACATCATAAGCCTTGTAACTGATTCTTCGAAGAGGATATGTAGGAAAAGTACATATAGAAAGATGTATATAAAAAATAACGTATTTGAAGGACTACTTTAATATCGTAGGATGTTATACGAGATTTAACCGTACTTTAGAGCTCCCTGAGAAAAAGCTAGCTATTTTTTGTGACCGTTTCCCAAAGAAATCATAAAAGGGATTATATGAGTCTATGGACAAAGATAACTGGGATATCACTCAGCGGAGTTTCCTCAAAAATCTCATTCCAAATTTGGTGAAACTTTGACCCGAAATTGGCTACATTTTGTGTATAGGTAAAAAGGACCATAATATCTCTATTGAAGTCTATCCCGGGTTTATCTTTTTTGTCCTATTCTACGTCTAAGACCATTTCCCTAAACTCATTATGTCTATCGCTAAGGAGTAATTTTGTATTTTTCTGCCCTGTCAAAGTCTCATAAAATCTCTGAAAATGTCTCTCTATAAATTTAGGGGGTATCTATTTAAAAGTAGGGTTATTCTCACTTTCTCAATTTCTTCTTCTAAATTTTCTCGATGGAAACATATTCTTACTGCTCGTAAAAGTGCTGAGAAGGGAATATTCTTCATTACATGGGGAGAATGTGCTGAGTTAAAGGGTAAAATGTATGGCTGAGCCGCTAATTTTCTATATGCCCTTGTCTGAAAATTTGAAACTTCAGCTTCTCCTCTAACATCTAAGTAATCTACGTGTGGACCTGTCTCAGAGGTTAACCCTATATTTTTATCTTTCTTTCTTAACTCTAATAAAATTTTATCCATTTCTTCCTTGGGTCTCTTAGTAGTTATAAAAATATCATCTCGGAATCTAAGGTAAATTTCTCCTTCTCTCTCCTGTTGCTCCTTAAAATCTGTCTCCCACTTTCTCATGTAAACATCTGCTAAGACTTGGGTGCATTCTGATCCCATGGGTCCTCCTCTAATCTGTTTATAATACTTAACCTCCTGCTCTGGTAACTTTAAAGCGAAATGGGCATTCTCAAGTACATGTCTAAATAGGGTTCTAATTGTATTTATTGGGATCTCTCCATTAACCTTATTTATCATATTTTCCCCTAACATCTCACATACTGCTAAGATAGACTCTTGCTGAGGTATCATTGTGTATAAATCTGTTATGTCGAATGTATACACAAGGGTCTGGTCTGTTGTTCCATATTTTTTCAAATGTTTTAAAAATTCTATACTATTTGTCAAACTATACGGGATAATCTATCGAAAATGGGTCGTATTATTTTATCGAGAAAAGCCGAGATTTTTTGCGTTGGTGATTTCATCCCCGAAACAATTGATCTTAGTGGTTCTCCTACCTTATGATCTTTTGGGTTATAATAAAGATGGGGTAACTCGGCTTCTAGTGGATTTGGTTTTAATCTCTCAAAATACTTTCCAGGTAATAACTTTCTATTTACTAAATTTCTAAGTAATTCTTCTGTCTTCTCTATCATACTATTCAGGGGTGATTCTTCTATCTCTTGGTAGGCATCTGTATTTTTCATATATGTTATTGACTTCTGTATGTATGCCTCAGGCTTATCTACATGGAATACTTTTGATTTATCTGTTTGTCTGAAAATAACTTTACCCTTTTTTTGTTCCTTTTGAAAACGTTCTAAGGTTTTTTCTACTATTGGATCACGAGTTACTCCTTCATTAATCTTATTTCTTACTTCTTCTTCTAATCTATTGGCGAATTGTTCTACTAGAATTGGATTTCTTCCTGTCGTATGTGTTTCTCTTCTCCATGCTTCAACTACCTTATCTTTCATTATTCTAATTTCCTCTTCTAATCTATCTAAAGCTTGTTTTGGATTCTCAAATACAAATTTGGGTCCATAATTTAAAATTCTTCTTTCTTCATCTGTTAATCCTAATACTTTATTATTTACGTGAGGTGGAAATCCTAATGGGGTATAATGTGGATGTAAATTCTTAGCTCTACTATTTCTTTCTATTGCTCTAGCTATTTTTCTATTATTCTTATCGCTTTTTTCTCTAAAAAATTCAATTTCTTTTGTACTTTTCTATCATTTCTAATCTGTATTGTATGTATTAAATCTTTATATGCTGTTCTTATTTCTGCTGGTATTTTCTCAAGTAATTCTATATGTTCTTTCTCACTCTTATCTATCTCTGTAACCTTAGCTAAGCTCATTATTGATGTTAAATCTAACTTAGTCTTACGAATAACATTATTCCATTGTTCACTATACTGATCTTTAACTTCTTTATTTAATTCTTTACTTCTAAATTGTAATTTATCCATAATATTTAATGCAGATGGTGGTATATTCTCATTTAATCTTCTATCTAATTTATCTAACTGAAATTCTAGTTGTAACATACGTTCGAATCTTATCTGTGCCTTATCCAAAAGTTCTAAACTATCCTTATTACTTTTATTTCTTATTGTTCTTAATGCTTTTTCTTTCATCTGATCTAATACTAAGTTATCTAAACGTTTCTTATTTGAATCTTTTAAAATATCTATTACTGGTTCTATACTATCCTTAATATATTGTACTATTAATCTATGTTCATCCTCTTTGAATTGTTTCATAAGTTCTTCTAATTCTCTTTCTTGTTGTTTTGATTTCTTTTCTAAAAATTCTCTATTTGCTGTTATACTTTCTCTGTTAGCCTTAATATGAAAGATCTTAAAATGAAACTTACACTCAATTGAAATAATTGGAAAATCAAATAAATCTATATTAAAATTTCCTATGCCTTTTGAAATAACTGATAGGGAATTTCTTACTATATCTTGTTCCATTGGTATGACTTGTTCCTTAATCTGATTATTCTCAATCTGTACTGATGGTTCGGGTTGTGGACTCGACTGAAGGAGTCTTGGTGGTGCTACTGGTGTTCGTGGTGTACTCTGTCTTGGACTTAATACTGGTGGTGCGGGTAAACATGGTGGAGTTCTTGGTAAGATGGATAATACTTCTTCTTCTTCTTCTTCTTCTTCAGGTTGGGTAACTACCTCTTGTTGTTGTTGTTGTTGGGATCGGGGTGCTATTTTTTGGTGGTTTCACAAAATGGGCTCCAAATTGGGGTCTTTTTGCTGCTGGATCTACTGGAGTATCTTGCCTTGTCTTCTTCTGCACTACTTGGGATGTCTGTTCTCGACTATTATTATTACTAACTAATAATACTGGACTACCTTTTGGGGCTCTTGGGTCATTCTCAATGGATGTAGTCTTTTTCTTCTTTGGTTTTGCTTCTGTTTTTCTTATATTTATCTTATCTATCTTTTCCTTAGATGTGGGTGATATACTAGTGTCTCTTAACTTTCTTTTCTTTCCATCTTCTTCTTCTGTTTCACTATTATCGTTACTTT